AGGGGAGGGAAGGGAAGGAGGGAGGGAGGGAGGGAGGAAGGAAGGAAGGAAGGAAGGAAGGAAGGAAGGAAGGAAGGAAGGAGAAAACTGAAGCTTCTCCCTAGGTAGGTTCCACTATCTGACAATAGAGGGCGCCATTGTATCGTTCATGAAATGATGTCCAACTTCTTTGTGCGCTCAAGGTAAAATTGATTCATAATCCTTTTCAGATTCATCTTTACCAATTACAACAAGTTGTCCAGGCAGAGTTGGTTTAGTCTGCACCGAGTTGAGGTTATTTTCAACAATTCAGTTCAAGCAACATTTAATGCAACGGGAATATACGCTTTGTCAAGTTACTCCTACCACTGCCAACGCATCAGCAGCCTGGAGCCACAGGAAGCCCTCTTGTTACCCAGCGACTCGAATGTCCTGTCAAGCTCTTGGGAGGTCACTTTTATTGATTTCCAGGTAATAAACTAAAACCTGTGCTCGGTGCACCTGTGTGTTTGGTGCCAAAGAAACTCAATGTTTGTTTGAAATCACCTGCAACAAAAGATAAGCGAAAGACTTCATGCCTTTAAAATAATGGTTTAGAACAGTCTTTTAAGGTATGAAGTGCAGTAAGATAGAATATTTCCTCTTTCTGTGGCCTCTGAGTCCCTACCACAAGTTTGCTGTACTTTTCAGGTTTATCCAGTCATGATGATTATCTAAATCCTGATGCAGCTGTAGCTGAAGCTCAGAGGCTGACCCTTCCTGGACTGAGAGTTCTTCTGAGGCCCCCGGGACAATTATTTTACTTCCCTTCAGGGAGTGGAGCACTGATGCTATCAGGGAAGATAAGAGGGACTGCAGGGTGGGTGACAGACAGGCTTGGCAGTTAGCATGGGAATGGAATCATCAGCCAAGGGAGTCAAAAATATCCCAGAGATCTTGAAAGTGTTTGAGGAAAGGCATGGGTGTGTGAGAGGTATGCTTTCTTTCTTTTCGCCAGCCAGACGATCCCAGTTTGAGAGACATTCTGTCAGCTTCCTCTAGCTTGTTTTTCCACCTCATTGAAATAGCAAGCATGGCTTCCCACGTGCCTTTTAAGGGCACTTAACAGTCTTTCCATTGGTATCTATGGACATTGATATATAGGTATATGGTGTCCACACACAGGGAAGAAGGGCTGGTGGGCAAGGGAAAGAGCTGGCATTTTGGATTCAGTCAGACCTGATTTCAAATCAATCCTTCTGGTCTACCTTCATGAATGTAAAGAATAATGTATACTTGGATATGTATGAAATGCCCAGGGCCATGTCAGGTATGGGTTAACAATACAACTTGTGAGTCCCTTCTGTTAATGGCTATAATGGCTAAGATAAAAAATTTTAGTTTATATATATATATATATATATATATATATATAAAATGTATATATATATATATATATATATTACAGTTTAAAAAACAAAAGAAATGATCAATGACATGAAGGTACAGTTTAAACAAGAAGAATTAGAAGTCACCAATGGGCTTGGGTTGATGAAAACACAGGATAATCACTGCACTGGCTGGATGTAGTAAAATAATTTATTTTAGAAGCCTCTGGAGCAGTCAGCATAAGAATGAAACACCCAGTTACAACTTCACAGTGAAAACTCGGCTGTGAGGAGAATATTGTTTTCCAGTGTTGTGCAGTGTCCTCAAAAACACCCTACAGTCAGCACAGCACGATGTGTCCTCAGTGAGCTTTGTGAAAGCACCCATAAAGGAAATACATGGCAGAGTGCAAACTCAGAGCAGGAGATGGGAGGTCTTGGGGTAGTAGGTGAGCAATGTACACAATAGGCTGCTTTGCATATCTATAGATTTGTGTGTCTGGTTTATTCTAGGAATAATGTATAGTTGTCCCTCAATAACTACAGTTTTAAATTTTTAAGTTTATTGTAGGGGTTTTTACATATATAAGGTAGTGAGCACATTTTGTGCTGAATTGTTTCAGTAAGTAACAACAACAAAAAGGTCTAGGACAATTTTTTCCTGAATATTTTTAATTCATTGTGGGTGGTTGGTTAAATCCAACCATAGGACTCATGAATGCCTAGAGCTGACTGACTGGGCAAGCACACACAGCATCCCGCCATTTTACCTCAGGAAAATGAGTGAGGCAGGTGAGGTTTGTGTAGCCAGGGTAACAATCCTCAACCACTTCAGCTCCAACTGATTTATGCTTTGAAGTAATTCAGGGCCAAGCTTCCCATTTCTTCTGATTTTCTATTAGAAGTTACACATCTGGATTTTTTCTTTTGCTTGGTAGTGGGGCTTGAACTCTGGGCCTGAGCACTGTCCCTCAGCTCTTCAGCTCAAGGCTAGTGCTCTACCTCTTGAGCCATAACAGCACTTCCAGTTTTCTGGTGGTTTATTGGAGAGAAGAGTCTCACAGACTTTCCTGCCTGGGCTGGCTGGGAACCACGATCCTCAGATCTTAGCCTCCTGAGTAGCTAGGATTACAGGTGTAAACAACCAGGACCCTGCTACATCTAGATTTTTTATGGGGAAATTTCAGGATGTTCAGAATTATGGGCCAGACAAAGGTGACATGTGGGCTCAGTACAGTGTTTGTAACTTGCTCTTGTCAAGTAAGACCTGTTAAGAATTAAGAGGCTGTCAGGCTGAGGATAGTCTCTTTGGTCAGCGTTGCAAAGTCACGTGGGTTATCATTTTTCACCAAGGAACTTAACCCTTCGGGCACCATTCTGAGGAGAGGACTCTGCATAGGAGCAGAGGCAATGGGTGACAGAAGCCAGGATAAGAGTTACCTTCCGAAGCGACTTTGTGTTCAATGTGGTGTACAGACAACTGGGGAACAAGGCCTTTAAGGTGTTAGTAAGTAGCTACAATAGTTCCAGCATGGGCAAATGCTATCTAAGTCATAAAAATGAATTCTCGGTAAAGCACTCAAGGAAAATTCTGTTGTAAAATTTATCCTTAAAGAAACACAAAAAGAAAACAAGTAGGTTTTGGAATGAGGTCATGCTTTTCATTTTGACAGTAGCACTTAGGTGTCAGGGCCTCTTGAACTTTTCCCACTTATAAGTAATTAAGCCATTTATGAGGAAGCTTTTCTTTCTGTTCCATGGACAGAGGTAGAAAGGAGCTAGTGTACAGCTCTTCTAAAAATAGAACAATTATGTATATGGCAAAACAATCCCCTTATCCAATGCTTCATTTTCTGTGGTTTCAGCTAGCCACAGACAACCACTGTCTGAAAATATTAAATGATATCCTTAGAGATTGACTGGCCATGTCCTGATACTGAAACCCACAATATTCCAGACATTTCTATAAAACGGCACAGTATTTGCATGCAGCCTTCTCCCATTTTACTTTCACTAATCTCTAGATTCAATCTCTAGATACAATGCAGAGGACGTGTGAACAGTTACTGTGTATATTACTGTCTTTAGAAAATAGCAAAAAGAAGAAAAGAGAGAGAGGCTTTGAATATATATATATATATATATATATATTATTGTGAAAATACTGTACAGAGGGGTCACAATTACATGGGCAAGATAAAGAGAACATTTCTTATCAAGCATTGTAGCCTCCTCCTCTGTTTCCCCTTCCCATCCCATCCTCCCCCCTCCCCCAACCAATCCTCCTTCCCCCCTACCAAAGTTGTAAAGTTCGTTTCGACATAATGACTTGTACGTCTCATTGTTGCAATGGGTCCACCTGTATCCCTATTTAAACGATTTGTTTTTTCCCTTCCCCTCCACAAATTATAACAACATCAAATATAGTGAAAGCAGGGGTTATACCGTGGGGGAGGGACATACAAAGCAACAAAGAAATAATCTTATAAATGTGTTAGAAACAATTGCATGAAAGAAAAAAAAAACATTTGAATATATTTTTTTAACTCACAGACACAGAACCTATGGCTTTGGAGGCCCAACTGCATACTGTTGTTTCAAGTAACCACAGTGGGTCTTGAGAATTACTCCTTGTGGATAAGAAGGGCCACTGTATGCCTGATAAAGAGGGGTGGTAGTGACAGGAGGAAGAAGAGATGGCACACCAGAAGCTGTGGAGTTACTGACCGAGTCTGACTCGAAGCTGGAGGGCCCAGGGTCATAACGCTTACTGCCACATGACTCTAGGCTCGTTACTTCACTTTCCCATGCCTCAGTTTCCTCCTTATAAAGTAGAATGAAGTAGTAACTTGCTCACGGGCTCTTGTGAATGCTAAATGAATGAAGGCAGTCAGTAATTTTTCTGTTTTACCTTGCCAGGAATCATGACACCCTTCCTTAAAAGCCTCTTCCTGTCTACTTTCTGTCAGAGAATGAAAGGCTGAGGAACTGAGAATTAAACTCTCCTTGAAATTTATACCCACACTTATAAAACTTAGAGTATGCTTTGAACTTGAGAGATGCTACAGTGGTTGTGGTTTTACATGACCTAGAAAGAATCAGATTAAAAGAGGTTTATTTCAGAAACTTAAATTTCATGAGCCCCTTAATTATGACAACTATCCATTCCAGGATTTCTGGGTCAGCTCAGATTTAAAATCAAGTTTCACTGTTTCTATGAAGCATAATCATATTTGTCAGTTCATGTGCTTAAATTATTCAGCAAATGTGGTGATAATATATTAAATTTGGCTAATTAAGGGCCCAGAACCACCAGCCCAAGTGGGAACCGATCTTCGGAGAGAAGGCGTAGGGCTTCAGCTCTTTTCTTTCTCCTGACAGATCCAAGGCTTTACCATCAAGGGAGGGCAATTCTCCAAGGCCCGAGACTGTGCCTCTTCCTTTTCACCTGCTGTTCTGATTGGCCTGGCTATGTCGCTGATCCTGCTGCTGGTGCTGGCCTACGCCCTACACATGCTCATCTACCTGCGCTACCTGGACCGGCACTATGACTTCATCACCTCTCCTGCCCACTTCCCATCACTTAGAGTTCGAGACCGGGCAGAGCAGAAGGAATTGCTTAGGAGCCAGGGAATCGAATATTATGAGTTGAGGAGCCAACAGATCTGCAAAATCTATGTTTAATAGCACAACCTTTCTTCCCCTGGGCTGGGAAATGTGTGGTTTCTCTTCTGTGCTGTTTGATGTGTGAATAGCTTGATTTTTTTTTAAAGAAGTAAACAATGAATGGGTAGATTTTGGGCTTGCAAAGGTATCTTGGCCCTCCCACAGAAACTGTTGCCCCAAACTTACCTTAACAGAGGTTGTGCCAGGATTCATTGTTTGGGGTGAAGAGGAAAGGAGAGAAGGAGAAAGAGAGAGGGGGAGAGAAAGAGAGAGGGAGGAGGGAGAGAGGGAGAGAGAGAACGAGCAGAGAGAGAAGAGAAGAAAGAGAGAGGAGAGAGAGAAGAGAGAAAGAGAGGGAGAGAAAGAAGAGAGAGAGAGAGAGGAGATAAGGATAATATAATACAGAGAAAGTAAAACATACTTGGTGTTCTTGCAGGTCTCTTTGCCTGTTCCAGTTTGAATATAATAAAAATAGAAACAATATACCCAAAGTTATCTCTACAAGTTCAGAATTTAGGCTATTTTGTAACAACATTTACAGTTTTCAGAAATTATATCCCAGTTTTCTTTAAAATGTTTCATAGAGTTCTTCAGGGAGGCTCCGTGTCAATGTGAGGGAATTAACATTTACTAAAGGGCCTTCTTGCTTTATTATTCAGAAGCAGCCCAGCTCAATCTGTTTAGTAGGAGTCATAATCTTGCTTGCATCTTACCTTTTCCATTTAGTTATAATGCTGAGGTTTATCTCATTTATCTGGTGTAGGTTTCCATGCTTCCTGCACGTATCAGAAATTAGCAGGAGAACTAAGTAAGAACAGTGTGCTGGTTTGGCCAACCCAAGTTCATAACAAGTTCTCTAATGATGCTTTCAAAGCAACAGGATCTCCTAAGGGCTTCCTTACTAGAAATTCTGAAGTAACCATTGGTGTTTGGGTTTCTGTTGTTATTGTTTTCAGTATTGGGGTTTGAACTCAGGGCTTTGTACTTGAGCTATTTCCCTCCCCCCAACTCCACCACTAAGGTTCTTTTCACCATTGTCTTCCATATGGATTCCCTTAAGATCCTTTTCAGTTCTTGGCAGATACTGAAAATTGAATGAAGAAGAATTTTCTTTAGAAAGGATCCACAGCCTTATGTCTGTGCAACTCTATGTCTGTACAAAATTAAATAACTTCTTTTTAGTATCACTTCTGGCAAGTTCTGGCATTCTGGTAAAAAGCTACTAAGTTCCTGTGGTATCTTTACCAACAGCCACCAGATAGTTGATCATAAGTATGTAATTATTAGTGCTGAAGAAGCAGAGCTGAAGATATATCTATCTTTTGAGAGGTCTGGAACAATATAACAAAAAAGTGATGTTTGACACAGTAATAATTGGCTAGGTAAGTAAGATGGAGAAGGCCAAACATGGCAGAAGGAAACACATCTATAAACCCTGGCCTGTATCATACAGGGGAGCTATGAACATTATGTGTTTAGGAAGATACTTAAAATGTATTTAGAGAAGAAAGATGGAGACCCTGGGATGTAAGAGAGGCCAGATGATAATGTTCAATGGTAGATTTAGAATCTTGGTTGCATGTAATAGGCAAGTCCTTAAGAAGATTTGAGAAGGTGTAGAGCAAGATGATCACATAGTGTGTAAGCATGAATAGAATAGTGACGGAAAAGTCGGGCGCCGGTTGCTCACACCTGTAATCCTAGTTACTCAGGAAGCTGAGATCTGAGGATCATGGTTCAAAGCCAGTCTATGCAGGAAAGTCTGTGAGACTCTTATCTCCAATAAACCACTCACAAAAATGGAAGTGGTGCTGTGGCTCAAGAGGTAGAGTATTAGCCTTGAGCTGAAGAGCTGAAGGATAGCACCCAGGCCCAGAGTTCAAGCCCCATGACCCACAGGGAAAAAAAGAAAAAAAAAGAAAAAAAATAGTGACAGAAATTCCATTTAGGAGATTATTACAAGCGTTTGGACAATAAGAGTAGTAATGGGACTTGAGCTAAGATGGAGGGGTGGGAGGGAGGAGCTAGGAGAGGAAGTTGGCAGCCAATTTGAAAGACAGGTAGAGACCTGTCAGATTTAGGGTATTGCAATGGAGGTGGTGCGGGTTCTGCAATCAGGGAGAAAACAGAGGAAGGCAGTGAAAGATCTCAAGTAGGCTTCCAAGTAGACGGTTGGACGCACGGATTTTGGACAAAATAAGGCTGAATGAATCAGAAGTAGAGTATTAGAAACATAGGATGTTGTCATTGTCCCACCTATGTTCCTTTTAGGGATCCTGGTCTAACTTTCCCTTGACAGTAATGGTCCCATGGGTTTCTCCCTCAAGCTGAGAGTGCTGATGAATTAATGTCCCCTTAGAGTGACTCTCAGCCAACAATTCTCAGAAATTGGGCATAACTCTAGGGCATTTTCTAGAGCTCCCTAATAAGGCTAAGCTCTTCCCCCCCTTGTAGACTCTTGCTTGGTAATATTTACTTTATTTGTTCCTTGATCTCCTTGAATCACTTCCTTATTGCCCTAATGGTGTATTCTAATATCGCTTATAGAATAAACAAATTACATTTAAATCTATGTCTCAGGACCAGCTTCTTAGGAAATCCAAACTAAACCAAGTAGTAATAGCTATGAAAACTAAGTTGTTAAATGAGATGGCTTTAAGAAGAAACAGTGGGCCTCAGGAACACAATCATTTAGGTTCAAGTCTGCAAAAGAGCTAGAGTAGGAGCAAAGAGGAATCAAGAGGGGGGAGGGTGGGGTGGGGAAGAGTCCCAGAAGTCAAAGGGGGAAAAGAAAGATACTTTGAAGATGAAGAGAATAGTTAAATGCTGGAGATGAATCAAGTTAGAAGAGAACTAAGAGTTGTTTATTTCTTAGATTTGGCTAATAGGAAGTGATGGATGAACATGCTTTTTCATGGAAAAGGGGAAATAGTTCAAGATGTTTATTCCCCTGGTTTTCTCTCACAGGGAATACCTTGGATTGCTTGTGTCCCTTCTCCAAAGTTCCTCGCAGGACAGTCATCTTCTTTTTTTTTTTTTTTTGGGTCCGGTTGTGGGGCCTGAACTCTGGGCCTGGGCGCTGTCCCTCAGCTCTTCAGCTCAAGGCCAGCGCTCTACCACTTGA